CTTTTCTTTCTTCTTGTTCTTTATCGTAACAAATATTTAATTCAATATCACAGAGAAATAATAATAAATTATATAGTTTCTTTTTTTTTTTTTTTTTTTTTTTTTTAACTTTTTAATTTGCCAATCGTATTAAGTTAAACGAACGTGTTGTTAATATGTTGCTACAGGATACTCGACGCGTTAATAATTGTATGCGAAAGCGCATGTCCAAAAAAAAAAAAAAAAAAGAAAAAAAAAAACAATATTCCGTTTGCTCGTTTACATACCACGTGGTCCCTTCATACGAACGAATTCTATTCGTTGAGAGGTTGCCCCTGAGAAAAGGCCGAAGGTCATACGCTGCGCCATTTTTGTGCTGAGACTCGACTGAAATTTATAATTTACGTTTCATCGTCTGTAAAATATATATTCAATACCTTCGTATCATTATAATTGATTTTTATTTCGTATGATATCATTGATTAATTACCCTAGCGTCGTAAACTTTCTTCAAAGCGTCGTATCTGATCGAACCCAAAAAGATGACACCCTGGACGGCACCGTCCCTATCGGAAGCTACCAATTCAACACAAACCATTTCTCCATCTCTTACTAAAATATCACAGAAGACTTCGTCGAAATTGTCTACCATGAAACAAATATGGGGATAGGTCATTTCCTCGAGATCACCTTTAGCGTCCATTCGTCTACGGCTCGGACTTGCGTATACTTTTTGCGAATGTCTTCGTAATACCTAATACAATAAAATATAATAAGTAATAGTAATTACAAGTAGACGTAAATAGAGCGGGAAAGAAAAAAAAAAAATTAGAGATTCGTAACTGTTCTTGTCTTTTTTTTTTTTTTTTTCTTTTTTTTCAAATCGACGTTCACACTAAAAACTCTTACTTGCAATTCCTTCGGACTTGTCCTTGTGCATATTGCTAAAGTTAGAGTGTAATCGAATTGATGCACGACTAGATTCAGGTACACGGTTTCTTCCCAATCGATATCAGGATCACCGATCGGCAGTTTCTTGCTGTCCTTGCGAAAGACATCGACCTCGGTTTCGAACTTCGGTAAATATCTCGAAGAGGTTTTAACGTGCTTCTTACGAACGAAGAAGAGCAAATCGTCACCGTCTATCGTATGTTCCGCTTGGAATAAGAAATGACGTACAAAGAGATCGGTCCAATAGGTCATACCTTGAAGTACGACGAAACCGGAGTCTAAACATAAAAAAAAAAAGAAGGAAAAGAAAAGGGGAAAAAATCGAAAAGCGTAAGAAAGCTTATGTTATTTTAATTTTTTTAGTACGTGTATTTTTTACGCAAAATTGATTTGGAAAATTTTTGTATGTATATCTTATTTTTTTTTTTCTTTCTTTTTTTTTCTCTTTTTCTCTTTCCTTCATCTTTTTTTTTTTCTAATAAGGATTTTTGTAAGATATTCAAGAAAAAAAAAAAAAAAAAAAAAGAAAAAGAAAAAAAGATAGAAGATAGAGAACGAACGTAAGTACAATATTTTAAGCAACGATCGATAAAAGGGATTAGCGCGTTTCTTTATTCACATTGTTAAAGTGCACGTGCCATGTGAACCCTTTTAAAGGGCTCTCTTCTGTTCCTTCCCTTCATGTAAAGGAATAATTGTATATGTACGAGAATATGCGGAGGGAAAAGACATGAGTAGAAAATAATCGTTACAATTCTATTTTATCATACAGAAACGTGAAATATATACATATGTATTCTATAAAAAAAGAATAAAAATAGTAATAATAATAAATAAATAAACGAATAAATAAATAAATAAATATTCGTTATATTTCTTCTTGATAAAGAAGAACGATCTTCTTGGTAACGAAAGGAAAAGAAAAAGAAAAAGAGAGAGAGAGAGAAAGAAAGAGAGAGAAAAAAAAGGACAGTAAAATTCAATGAGGAAAAAAAAATAATGATTCATGTTGACCAATGAATTATACACGCGAAATAGTCGCGATTATTATAATTGCAGATTAGCTAGCAGATAGCGTGCATTTATCCAATAATACAAAAGACAAGATACGTAATACAGAGTCATAGTTGTATCTATCAAACATCTTTTATACATAGCCTCGATTCTGATAAGATTAAAATCAATCTATATATATATATATATATATATATAAAAAAATCGGCTCGATCGTAATGGATTAATAAATGTTTATCAGGAAATTCGTAATTAATCGTGAAAATACCTAGAAAAATTAATCGACGAATAATTTTGACTTCGACCTTTTTCTTTTCTTTCTTTTTTCTTCTTTTTTTTTTTTTTTTTTTTGCATTTGCCTAGTTATGAAATTAAGTAATAATGATATTGAGAAAAATAATGGCAAACGTTTGATGAACAAATAAGACTATTATCGAGTATGTCAATTTAAAAAGAAAGATATATATATATATATATATATATATATATAAACATACATTTATAATATGCTTAAAATACATGTGTATATATTTATATATGTGTATATGTGTGTGTATATGTACATATGCATATACATATATATACTATATATTATATTGTATATATACATATACACATATACATACATAGATATACATACATATATATATATATATATATATATATATATATGTATATATAGATAATATACTAACCGTCTTTGAGCATTTGCCGGAGCTCCTTTGTCCTCTGGAAATTGATTTCCTCGAGGAGCTGCTCCAGCATAGTCGGCGGTCTGGCCAGGCCGGATGACGAGCTGCCCGCCAAACTCGCCATGGCCTTTTACGTTTTCCTTCTCCTTGTATTTTGTCGTCGTCGTCGTTTCTTCTTCTTCTTTTTCTTCTTTTGTTTCTTCTTAATCTTTATTATCTCACTAGCCGTACTAACTATCTTCGTTGTCGTTGATCGTCGTTATACGTACGATTCTTTCCACCACGTTAATTTTCCCCTTCTATCACCTGTCAACAACGATGACTCTTTGCGCTGACTCCCTTCTTTCTCTCTTTCTCTCTCTCTCTCTCTCTCTCACTCTCTCTCTATATTCTCATGTATCTTTGCCTAGGGGAAAACAGACGATGCGATAGGTCGAGCATCAATCATTCGACCAATCGTAGCGTTTCTTTTTCTTTCGTCGAATTGATACACTAGACAAAGAACATATCCACTTCTTTTAGTTTGTCATAAAAAATATGTTGACATTTCTCTCTCTCTCTCTCTCTTTCTCTTTCTCTCTCTCTCTCTCTTTTTTCTCTTTCTTTCTCTTTTTCTCTCTCTCTCTCTCTCTTTTCTTTTCTCTTATTTTAATAATGCACAATCAATTTGACAATATATGTATATTTCTTTTCCCTTATATTTTACACGATAATTCGTCGAAAACATGTCACTATTTTTTTTACAGAAATATCTGAAAATTACAAAGAACGATCGTAAAGGAAGCGCAATGGAACTTCTACGTTGAGTGAGAATTTGATGAGCGATGTACTTCGGCCGACACTCGAACGCGCCGGTCGTCGATAATCTTGCGTCTGCGTTACGATGCTCTCGTTCGAACGTGGCGCGAAAATTTAAACGACACCAAGCATTACACCCGATAAAAATTATCGTAATTTTAATTGAATTTATATCGTTAATATCCTTAAGTTTAATATATTATATTTGAGAAAATATTTTTCATAATAATATTGAAATGTTTTTCCTTTATGATTTCTTTTTCTTTATTTCTTCATTTCTTTTTTCTCAATTGTGAAATATCACACGACAATTTTTCTTCCTTTTTCGCATATACATTCAGTATGATTTATTAATCGTACTGAATCGATAAATTATCGATCAATGAATATGATAATATTTATTAAGATCTATCGAGAATAATACAATCAATTTTGTGAATTTTATAATATTCAACTAAAGCATAATTTTAAAAGACAATTTATTAAAGCATACTCGTGGATATGATATATCACATACAATTTCGTATTATCATCCGTCATGATTCCGTTTCGGTCAAGATATCGCGACCTAAAATTGACCCTAAAGATAAAGCGTTTAGATCGTAACATAAGAAAAATCTCTTATTTATACGTATAGTTATAATCCAATGTAATCGATAAAATTGAGATTTTCTATCTCGAATCGATATAATTTTTTTCCATTAATTTTATTCCCCTTTTTTTTTCCTATTCGAATAGATAATATCTTATTAATATTTTCATAAGGATAAGAAGTATAAAATTTTTATTAGATTATCTATTATACGTAAAAATAATAATAATAAGGATAATTTTTCTTTCACAATCAATACATATCGTCGTCCAATCATTTTTTACTTTCATCGTATCGTAATTACGTTAATCGTAATTAAATATACGGAATAAAAAAAAAAGAAAAAAAAAACAAAAAAACGGGAGAAAAAGAAAAAGAAAAAATAAAACGAAATTATTGACAATCTTGTTGATAATTTTCGAACGCGATAAAGTATCGGAAGACGGTGATTTTTTGAACCGAGAGCGCTGACTTTCCAGATCTGCGATAGCCCTGTATCCAGTTAGAGTCATTCCGTTTAGTCGTGAACCATCCTTCTCTCGTTTCGCTTAAACGAACTCGTCTGGTAGTGTACTCGTCGCGAGTTCAGTCTGAAAGGTACGTACATACGCGTATATAGTATGTCTCTTACAAGAAATCATAGCTGCGATCGATCAGTGAGTCTCTCGTTTCGCAATGGCGTAGGATTTACGAAAATTCATATCATTTTAAATTATTATAAATTATTAAATATTAGAAATTAGTCCGGCAATATATTTAACACCTTTCTTTATTTTGCGTTTGTTGGCTCGAAGGTGATAATAAAAAGGAAAGAAAAGAAAAGAAAAGAAAAAAAAAAAAAAAAAAAAAAAGAAAAAAGAAAAAAGAAAAATAAAAGAAAATCAATGAAATAAACGAACAAATAAATGAAATAAATAAAATTCGAGCGTGGCTACTTACGTGCTTTTTCTTTCTTTTACTTTTTCTTCTTGCCAAAAGAAAAGAAAAAAAGAAAAAAAGACAAAAAAAAAAAGGAAAGAAAAACTTTCGACCAACATTGTTTCGAGTTTCCACGCCAACCTGAGATACATAACTACTTGCGTAATAGTTTTGGTCACAGACCGTTACCCGTTTTAAATTCGGCCGGGGGCAAAACACCCCGAAGCTATAGAAGTGTTAAACTCGTGAAAGGACGAGTACCATAAAAGAACTCGCGTTTCTAAAGATACCGTTGATTCGTGCTCGACACCGGTGATACCATCTACGTCTACAAACTTTGTCAAAGAACTATTGTCTTTAAGTAAGTTGTTTTTGTCCTCGATGCTTTTTTTACCTTAAAATAAAAAAGATATGTCGATTACGATTTTTTTTTTTCTTTTTTTTTTTTTTTTTTTTCTTTTTTATATGACATGGCATTACTACAATCACGTTTCTCATAATTCGTGATAATCAACGTATATTATATTTGAACGACGGGTAGGTATTCTCACGATTTCGTGAAATTCAAAGAATTTTCATTTTCACGAGATGGAAAAACGATCGAAGTGAAACCGAAAAAGAAAAGGAGAAAAAGAAAAAGAAGAAGAAAGCGAACTTCAATTTCGCTTTAGAACCAACAATTTCGATTACTTACAAAGGCGTAAATATAAAAAGTCGAGGAAACGAGGGTGAGATAACGAGATAACGCTTATACGTTTTTCTTTTTATGGATATAATTAACTAGATATGTCACGCTTCGGGCGTGTTAGAACGACTGAGAGAATGGGAGAGACACATAGTTGTCTAAAGTTTTTCCCATGTATCGTGAAAAATATATTTTCTCGATAACATTGAAATTATTACGTGCAAATATAGACAAACGCATAGCTAACATTTGAAATATCGATATTTTCTAAACTATTATCATTTCTAATAAATATAATTAGAAATAAAATTAGAAAAAGAATATCTTTCGTTTTTAAAAGGACTAATGTAATAGCCAATTATTTTTTTATCGTTATATCTTATTAATTAATTAATTTACACAATGAATATAATTTTTATTATGAATTCTTCGTTAATTCGTGAGATCACTAAAGCGTAAAACGTAAAGAGCATTCATGGTGAATCACGAGTGAAATACTGCAATTTCCGGATCACGATATCATGTCTTATCTCTTTTTCTTTCTCTTCTTACTCTCTTTTTCTATCTTCCCCATTCTATGTATCTGAAACTCTTTCTCTCTCTCTCTCTCTCTCTCTCTTTCTCACTCTTCGTTTGTATATCGCCTTACAGCGTTCTAGAAACCAACACCTACGTTTGAGCCGATCTCGAAAGTCTCTCTCTGTCAAGACTGACTCTTGGAATCCCGACCTAGTTCCCATATGCACACATAATCAAATGAATCGAGTCGTAGAACATCTTATTATGAGCTACGAAATGAAAAAGACACTCGCCTCCGTTCATCGTAAAATTCTTTCGCCAGTTCTTGCCCTCGAATACGATAACTAACATATATATACACACACACACACGCATACATACACACACGCACTCTTACACACTCCTACGTAAACGTAGATATATATAGGATATGTATATAAAAGATATATCCAAGTATAAACTTTATTCCAAGATAAATTGAAATTTTTCAGTTGACCTCGAGTCAGCAAGAAGATACGAAAATGTTATTCTTAATATTGATGGCGTGTTTCGTTGCCACAACACTGGCAGGATGTCCAATGAGACCATCGGCGGGACAAACTTCCGCTGGAAGAACACCCGGAGATGGCGGATACAGAATACTTATCAGTGGGACTTCTGATAAGTATATCCCAGATGCCGTTTATACCATTAGTCTACAAGGTATATGATACGTTCTATGATTCTTTTATTTATTTGCTTTTTTCTTTCTTTCCTTCTTACATTTTTTTTTTCAATTTTTCTTTTCTCTCCCTCTCTCTCTCTCTCTCTTCCTCTCTCTTTGATAAAAAAAGAAATAATTTCTCAATAACGAAACGTTCTCGTATTGTCATTATTTATTTCAGGATCAAGAACACACGAACGCCTTCAACAATTCACGCGTTTCACACTTTCCGTACATTCACAGCACGCACCGAATAATCCAACCATTCGCGTTGGTTATTTTCAATTATTCCCAGATTCTTTGACTACCTTCAATGAGGATTGCATTAACACTATTTCCGAAGCTACGGATTATCCAAAATCCGAGGTTATTAAGATTTAATTTTAAGTTTTTCATATGAAACCTATTTCTTTTTCTTCTTTTTCTTTTTCTTTTTTTTCTTTATTTCTTATTATTTTTTTTTCTTTTTTTTTTTTTTTTTTTTTCTAAGCTGAAAAAAATCAGAAGGATAGAACGTTAAACTTATATTGGCTTCTAGCCAATCGTTCTCCAGTTTTGTTCTTTTTTTCTTTTTCTTTTTTTTTTTCTTTCTTTCTTTCTTTCTCTAGAGTAAGACAATTAAACTTTTTGTATCTTGGAACAGATCCAAGTTATGTGGAAAGCACCACCGACTGGATCAGGCTGTGTTGTCTTTACTTCTATGATCTTGGAGAATAACGTGAGATGGTACGCCGAGGATGAAGGTCTGACAAAGACCTTCTGCGAGATGAATCCGACGGAAGTCGAACAATTAAGTGAGGATAGATGTTGTGCTTGCGACGAAGCTAAATATTCGGTGAGTTAATAAAATTACGTTACGGAGTAACGTTTTCGATTTCATTTTTGATTTGGATAAAATAAATTAAATATTTTTTATTGACCAAATAAACGTAACGTGTCTTTGTTAACGCAAATATATTTTTACTTTATAAATATATCATTATAATGATATAAATTATAAATAAATGTATATATATATATATTTATTTATATTCGAAGCTGACCTTTGAAGGCATCTGGTCCAACAAGACACATCCTAAAGATTATCCATTTTCGGCATGGTTGACGCACTTCAGTGATTTAATTGGAGCATCCCATGAACCAGAATTTTCTTTCTGGGGCAGAGATCATATCGCTACAGATGGTTTTAGGCAACTCGCCGAATGGGGATCAGCCTCTGGTGTAGAAGCTGAACTCAGAGCTCAAGCAACCAAATTGAGAACTCTTATCAAGGCCGCTGGTCTTTGGCATCCTAATGTAAATACTAACACCAGTGCGAATTTTAGGCAAGCGTATTATTATTATATTGCGATATATTTTATTCGTACATTTTATCGAGTTATAGTTATTGAAAATTCTTTTTTTTTTTTTTTTATTTATTATTACCAGGGTAGACAGGAAACATCCATTACTCTCGATAGCTTCTATGTTCGGTCCATCGCCTGATTGGGTGGTGGGTGTTAGTAAATTAAATCTTTGCCAAAAAGATTGTACTTGGGCAAAGAGTATGATCATTGATCTTTATCCTTGGGATGCTGGCACGGATAATGGTATCACTTACATGTCACCAAATTCAGAAACGAATCCAAGAGAAAAGATGAAACCTATCACGACTTCCTATCCAGAAGATCCTAGATCACCGTTCTACGATCCAACTGGTAGACCTATGCTTCCATTAGCTAGATTATATCTCGATAGAGAAAAAATCATTCAGCGTGGTTGCGACGAGGAAATACTTCAGCGACAAGTACAAGAATTAGAGGTCGCTGAGAACACCGAGGACACTTCAAAACGTACAATGATATTGTTATTTGTTTATTTTCAATAGCGATTAATTTTCCCTCGTAATAATAACAATTATTTATTTTTCTTTTTTTACAAAGCCGAATGTCAAACGACGAATTATTCGCCATGGTCTTCCTGTTCCGTAAGCTGTGGCAAAGGATTGAGAATGCGTACGAGAGAATACAGAATGCCAGAAAAGGCAAGGATGTTTAACTGCAACAGACAACTCGTTTTCAAGGAAATGTGTGTTGCCGATATACCAGAATGTCCGTAAGTTTATTTTCTTTAAGAAATCTTTTCTAATAAGATAAGATTCACCTAATCATTAATTTACAATCACTTCCCTATAATTTTATATCTCGTAGAGGCGAAGAATATGAAGATAATGATACCTTGTTGGTACCAAATGATACTATCTGCGAGACTACCGATTGGAGCGAATGGTCAGAATGCTCGTCGACATGTGGCATTGGCCTCAAAATGAGAACCAGACGGTTCAAGAATCAAATGGGTCGTAAGAGTTGCTCTCTCGTTTCTTTGGTAGAAAAGACAAAATGTATGGAACCTCCATGTCTTGTTACGGAAACTGTCGATCCTATTTGCAAAGTTTGTATTTTTTATTTTTTAAATTATTCATAATATTTTATTATGTACGATCGTTTATAGGTTACCGAATGGTCGGATTGGTCACCATGCAGTGCTTCATGCGGGAAAGGTGTAAAATTAAGAACGAGATTATTATTAGTGGATCCAACGATGCAAGAAAAATGTTCTTCGCGTGTCGAGTTGCTTCAACAAAGACATTGTCTTATACAATCTGATTGTACCTTCGATATGGCTACGGCAAAAGGTAAAGAAATTATGATATAAAGAAAAGAATGAACTTTAATTATGGATGTAAAGAACGTAATTATATGATAATTTCCAAGTGGTCTGTATGGAGGAGGTCGACGTTGGTCCTTGTAGAGGATATTTCCAAAGATGGGCATTCGATCCTCGCAAATTAATGTGTGTTCCTTTCGGTTATGGCGGTTGCCGAGGTAACAGGAATAATTTTCTCACCCCCGAAGAATGCAATCTCACTTGCAATATCGTAAGTAAATCTTTTTGGAATAAAATTTAAGATTACTAATGAATAAATATATATATATATATATATATATATATATATATATATATATGATGAAGTAATCAATGAGCTCGATCTTAATTTAGGTACGATCTATCCTAACTGGTGAAAATCCAATTCAACCATCGGCACAAATTCAAATACCTGCCAATTCAACGAATTTGACACCTGTCGATTGTGAGGTTTCCAATTGGTCACCTTGGTCACAGTGCAGTGTCACTTGTGGTACAGGACGGGTCGTTAGTTATCGTACTATCAAGGTATAGTGATATAGTATCGGATAATTAAAAAAAAAAAAAAAAAAAAAAAAACGTTGCCCTCTATTTTCTTTTATCTTTAACAGAACGAGCCTCAAAACGGTGGTCGACCTTGTCCGAAAAAATTGCAACGACGTTCTAAATGTCAATTGGCACCTTGCAATTAAACGAGTTTTCTTCTTTTTTTTTCTTTTTTTTTTTTTTTTTTTTTTTTCTTTGTTTTCTTTTCTTTTTCAGGATGTATTTGAAGTTAGCATTTTTAACCATGGAAATTTTACGCTTCCAAGGTTTAAATTACAATATTTTTTCTTTTTTTTTTTTTTTTCCTTTACAAATGTGAGTATCCTCAACGAAAAAGAAAAAAAAAAGATGATCCTGTCTTTTTTTTTTATTTTTTCTTTTTTTTATTTTTGACAACATGACAGGTATATAACAGTCGGATGTATCAGAATAAACGATATTTTATTAGTGGTCGTATTCGTACTGTTTGATCCTTTTACTTTTCATTCGAAGTTCATTCGGAAATGCAACGATACATTTTCTGATTAATATATTGTTCACATAGGATATTAAATCCTTTCATTTTGTTATTAAAATATTTATAGAATGAATTAAAACGAAAATGTATGTATTTGTCGTACGATAAAACATTAATTATGTTTACGTATAATACTCGTAAACGAACGTGTCTATTATTAAATTTCACAATTACAAACATTAACGTGATTTTTAATTGAATAAAAATAATAAACGTAAAATATATTGTTAAGTTGAAAAACAAAAATGATGAATTGATGATATAAAAATAATCATGTTTCTCGTATATGAATATTAATTAGTGTTTCCGAGAGATAACTTCGAAAATCCTTTTATTTTTCTTTCTTAATCTGATGAGACGCCTTTTAAGACATTGAATCGATATTTCGATATGGTGAATTTCCATTTATGTAAAAGCAATAATAAATAACGTGAATTATATAAAATATGCGCGAAGCTGATAAATCTTAAACCTATTCGATAATCGTTAATTTAATATTTCTAAAATTGCATTTATCATGAATTACGGGAATATTTTCATAATTATTTATGTACATTCTATAAAATGTAAAATTTCAATTTATGCTTTTAAAAAGACGCCCCATCAATGTACCGTCCTATCGATAATAATAATAATAATAATCATTACAAAATCGGACTATCCATTTCGCTGGACTAATTTCTGAAAATGATTTCTTTGAATTCTGTCCATGTATATATCTCCTGTATTCCCTAAGTAAATCTAATAAAACGTTGGTTCCATTTTTATAACTTTTTGTTTTTTCTTTTTTGCTTATTATTTACGATCGCAACAAAGTGCTTTAGTTTTTCTGCTTATAGCCTTTCCAACTAACAATGTTCATTATAGTTTTTGCCATGTCGAATATCTACGTTCCACATTTACGATAATAATCTCATATATATATTTATATATATATATATGAAATTATATAATACATTTAGATGATATAACTCTATTTTTAGATCTGTCCAGACCAAAAAGTTAGTGAAAATAGAAAAAGAAAAAAGAAAATAATAATAATAATAATAATAATAATAATAATAATAATAATAATAAGAAAAAAATAAACAAAATATAAGATTTTGTTTTTAACGTCAATTCTATTTTTGTCACGTTAGCAAGTTGCACTTCCTTTTGTGGTCATGACAGTTCTGATTAATCATTAATACTTATCATATTTATATAAATACACGTAATATCTAAGGTATGGTAAGAGAATTCATTTTAGGCCACTACTAGTCTCTTACTACGCTGTAATGAACTATTTGGTCATAATTTCTCGTCTTATCTTTTCTCGAGTTCAAATCAAAATTTAACGATAACAAAATTTCAATTAAATCGCTTACAATTAATAATCATGCAAATTAACATTTATAAAATCATAATCTCCTAATTTTTTAAACGTTTCTCAGTCAGTATAATTAATCAATTTATGATAATTTACCGACGATTACAATCTTTTCTACCGATGGTAAATTACATATATGTTTATGTAACTTTTTTTTTTTTTATATGAAACAAAAACAAAAAAAGACAACATATGTGAGATATTGAAATTATCATGCGATATGTTGACATTAAGAATATGCCACTTTTTTTTTTTCTTTTTTTAAATAAAGAATTATATTAATTCGTTTGTTTTTATTTTATATCGATGGAAAAAAAAAGGCCTGATTATCGATCTTCCAATCGATATTTCTTTTACATACGAAATAACGTGTAACGCATTAGGAGAATATGATGTCAGAGTTAATAACTAAACTTTCGTATTTTTTCTGTGCGACATGGAGAAGCTAAAATTTCATTAACTTTTATCAAATCTTTGAGTATTCATCGTTTATATATAAATTACACGCCTGCGTTAGAGAGAGAAAAAAAAACAAAAAAAAAAAAAAAAAAAATTTCGCGTAGTTTACATTATTAATAATAACAATCGATTGTTATAAGTCATGATTGATCATTCTCTTTATTGATATATCTCACACACACACACTCCTGTCATTATTTATAATGATGTAAAATATCAAAAATGTAAAATCGATCGAACGATTTTTAGAATCTGGACATGTAATTTATATATATATATATATATATATATATATATATATATATATATATATATATATATTTATATGTATATACGTATATAAAAAAAAAAAAAACAAAGATCCGATGAAATAAAAATCTTTTTTTTTTTAACAACGAGGCCGTAATAGTTTAAATCGTGTTGTCTATATGTTAGGAACAGAGAAAAAAAAAAAAAAGAAAAAACGAAAAAGGAAAAAAAAAATGTACCTTTAGAAGCTACAATTATTACTAGATTGCACACACGTTTACAGACATCTTGCACCTACTATACGATCTTAATAACAACTTGGATTATAGTTTAACGCGATCCAATCTTAATGATACGTATATAATAAAAGAAATTCTATGGAATTTCTTTCTTTCTTTTTTTTTTTTTTTTTCTTTTATTTTTGCTTCTCTTCTCTTTTCTTTTCTTTTCTATTATTTTCTTTCTTTTTTTTTTTTTTTTTTTCGGAATATCAAAAAAGTCTGTACCGTTTGAATGTTCGTTCTCTTGGATAATAATACATCCAATAGTATGGACTAAATCGTAACTATGGTATAATTATAGTGTTTTGTCTCATTAATTACATTTTCTTTTTCTTCCATTTTTTTTTCCTCTCTCTCTTTTCTCGTACCTTTTTTTTTTCTTTCCCGTATCATCTTAAATATAATATAACGTTAAAATATGATATTAAAACGAAATACATTCTTTCAATATATTTCACCTTTTTATATTCTTATAATTTTTTTTTTCTTTTTTTTCTCATTTTTTTTATTTTATTTTATTTTATTTTATTTTATTCAGCTTTGCTATTGTATTAATCTTATAGATTTAGGCGGATTCGAGATAGGATCGAGAGGCGTTATAAAATTTCGAATATCTTTAAAGCAATCATTATAAATCCGTGGTACACATATATAATACATCATAGAGGCTCAAAGATATTAACATTTTTTTTTTTTTAACTTAACGACTCTTATTTTTTCCTTTTTTCTTTTTTTTTGTTCCAGCTACGCTTAATGCAATATTATCGGTAATTAATGTATTACGTGTCCCGTGTCTGACTAGTGTTGACTAGACTAATTTGCGCCGACCCACGTGCCACTTCCGTTCTGGCAGTAGTAGTAGTAGTAATAATAATAATAATAATAATAATAATAATAATAATAATAATATTAATAATAATAATAATAATAACAATAATAATAATAATAATAATAATAATAATAATAATAATAATAATAATAATAATAATAACAATAATAATAATAATACTAATAATAGTAATAGTAACAATAATAATAATAATAATAATAATAATAATAATAATAATAATAATAATAATAATAATAATAATAATAATAATAATAATAATGATAATAATAATAATAGTAATAGTAATAATAGTAATAATAGCAGTTATAATAGTAGTAGTAGTAGTAGTAACAGTAGTAATAGTAGTAATAGTACTAGTAAGTTTTACTTTTATATTTCGTACTTCTAGAAGACGAGCGATTTTAAAAAAAAAAATCGATCTCGAACAAATATCCGACGATTGGTTGTACCTAATGACTACTCGGGAAAAACAATTCTTTGGTAATACGGACGGTTTTCTAAGGATACCGATGATTTATTTTTCTTTATTTTATTATCACCTAAACGACTCGAGAATTTGTACAGGACACGTCCTAAAAACTTTCTACGATCTTTTCGATATGGAATTTCTAAAAGGAAAAAAAAAAAGAAAAAAAACGAAGAAAAACAAAAGAAAAAAAATAAATGAATAAGGAAGAAAGAAAGATGAAATTGAAAAATAAATAAATATAATATAATAAAAGTAATAATCCTCGAAATGGTATTCTTCGTAAACGATGATTAATATTATAAGAATCTGTAAGAATTGATGACGTGAATTATGATAAAATATATAGAGATAAAAAAAATGATATCACATGATTTTTGGTCGATGCGGTAGGCACGGCTAACATTAGAGTTTTTTTTAATAACGCTATCGCGCTATCGCACTATCACACTATTTCCACGCGAACACTGTGAAAAAGGAGCTCACGGACGAATGAAATTCACGAGTTGTCATTGGTACAGGATCGATCCGATAGTTGAAAGTTCGTAAAGTATTTTTATAACCGGATGTCGTACTCGTCTCGAAGGGAAGAGTATTTTTCGAAGGGTCGACGACGATAATATTTCTATCTCCTTATTTCTCTTTATTTTCTTTTTCTTTCTTTCTTTTTTTCTTTTTTTTATTTTTTTCTTTTTTTTTTTTTCTTTTTTTTGAATTTTTATTCTCTTTTTGTTTCATCGGAGTTTCGCGTTCTCGACGGACACGTAAATATAATTGGCGAGGCGCGTCGTCGTGAAAAAAAGGCATCATTGTGTGCGTCTGCCGAAGGCGACGAGATTTGTTTCTTCTTCTTCTTCTTCTTCTTCTTCTTTTTCTTCTTTTTTTTTTCTTCTTCTTCTTTATTTTTCTTCTTATTATTATCGAACCTCGGAATCGCGAATTATCGTTGATTCTCATCGTCGCCAACTTTGTCGTACGAGTTATCGCGCTCGAACTCGTAATATTCCTCTTGGGACATTTGGGATATTCGTGATCGTGTAATCGCCGAGGCTCGTCATCGAACCAATCGATGACGGGGCCGTGCTCAGAGCCAACCAGCTGATACGTCGTGTCCAGAGATCGGCTCGATGCCAGGTAATCGTTGAAGTTGCGTTGCCGAACCATTTGTCTTAACTGTCATTGAAATCGCTCCGCTAGCAATAACGCTCTCCTCCGTGGTCGATGGTGTCAATGGAACAGCACTAACAACTCCTAACAAAGGGAATATATCGTTAAAAAAAAATAAAAAATTGAAATTTTATTCGATAATATCCGAAGAAGAATGGGGCTCGTGATGATAGATATTTTCAATTTTTAATAAATATTGAAGGGAAAAACAAAAAAAGAAAAAAGTGTCATTTGATAAAAATCATTCGAATATTAAATATTATTTTATAATATTTTTACTTCTCCGATATAATTGTCCCCGGTACGAATTCTTTGTCGTTCTTTTCTCTTCTTCTTTTTCTTTTTTTTTTTACACTACGCATATCTACTTAGTGATATTGCTAACAATTCTAATATATAAAGATATATATAATATATATAATATAATATAAATAAATAAATATATATATAAAGAAATTATAATAATACATAAAGAAAAAATATGAGCAAAGTTTCGAGTATGCAAAGAGAATGTAAAAGAACTAACTTTGTTGCTCGCTAACACTGACGATCTCGGCGGTATCCAAACTCGGCTGTTGACTCTGTGTGACTTCGTGTCTACGAGGTGTTATCGTTTGTGAACCAAGTTCTGGACCTCTTGTAGGTACGCTGCTAGCACGATGCAACTGTTTTTTCGAAACTTTCGATAAAAGAATCGAAGCTATAGGCTGTGTCGTACTTTCCATTGGATTAGAATTGGTGCTGGTCATTGCTGGGGTCGAAGCTCTCGACGCCGAGAACTTTTTTCGTTTTTTCGTCAAAGCAGACACTAAAGCAAGACGGCCAAAAGAGTGATGACTTTCTGTATGATGTGAATGATGACTGTGTTGATGGGATTGATGACTGTGAACATCATGACTACCATGAATTTCTAAAGAAGATTTTGAATCCGTTGAACCTTCCGATCTCGAGCCACCATCTTCGGATGCTGGTGAATAAACTGAATCCTCGGAACGAGATCTACCTGATAAAGAAGAAATATTCGAACATTCTTGATTATCTATCGAAATGACGTCAATTGATATATAAATAAAAATCAATCGATTGCAAGAATCTTACTGATGAATTTCTTCGAAACTTTGTGAGCCTTAGCAGCTTCGATCAAAGTATCCCAACGTTTTTTCTTCGAGCTACTTCTAGCACCGCGACTTTGTCTACACGCGTTACTATGATGTAATGTCTTCTTCGGCATCGTACCTAAACCAAATATCTCGCTTCGCGTCGAACCAAAGATCTCGTGATGAGAATTTTCATGTTCTACCTCCTTCCAAGAGGCAATTAGTTCCGCGACCGGTTCTAACAGTGTAGAACTACTGCCAGGTTGTGGAGCTATATTAAATCCCTTCATCAAGCGCCGTTCCTTCTGCCGGTTCTTCTTACCTCCCGCACCTATGGACAGCTCTTTAAGGCTACCGTCTATCGGGCAAACAGAAAAGCAAAAGTGGACCGTGCTCAAAAAGAAATAATCGTGAAACTATAATCGAACACAATAATAGAAAGTATTTTAAAAGTAAAAAAGTTAATAACATAGAAAAAGAAAAAAAAAAGCACAACTTGACATACCAATTATAATATAGAATTATAAAAAGAAAATACAAGCTAAGGGATTCGTAAGGTAATTATCTATACTTTTTTAAAAAATTCCTCACCAGTTCCGGAACCACTTGCCGTCGACGTATTCATCCCAGAATTTTTAAGAATCTCAATGATTTCACAACGAAACGCGCTAATATCCTGTTTTATCTCGTTTACGTCGTCCTCGGTGACACCCTCGTTCTCGGCCTTTCTTTGTTCAACGGTGACGTATCGCCTAACCAAATTTCTCATTATACTTTGATAACGAAAGTCACGCTGTGAGGCTTGCTTCGCTTTTCTCTGAAAGAAAAGTATTTCACGTCGATGAACGATCGTCCCGATCATCATTTTGTTACCTCGATAATGCGAAATGACGATTCCCTTTGAAGAGATCCTACGTCGATATGGTATATAGTACAAATTTTTACCCTGATCGTTCGCATGTGTTCCTTTTTGGCGGCTCTACTATGACCACAGAGTTTCCGATAAATCCACAAGCCGACGTACCAAGCGCTCTTTGGTGTAGGAATGATATTGAACGGTGGTGGAACTGTTCCACCTTCCTCAAAATAACTGATCCAAAGTTTGCTCCTGGCGAACTTCCATTCGACATCAGCCCGTTCCTAATATACGAATTTTTATTCATTCTTTAAGCGATCGTTAAACAATAGATTTACATCAATTGTAAATCATTTATTTTAACTATAATTCGTCATATTGATTGATTAAATCGCATCCAATATAATTAACATCAATTGAGATAAATTGTTAAAAATTATGATACCATTTATTGATTTAACTTTAAACATGTGAAATAATAAAATCCAAAGTCAAATTGACGAGTTACGTAAATCTAGGATTAAAAAGCGAAAGATCGTACGATCTCGATAAGGAAAAAAAAAAAAAAAAAAAAAAAAAAAAGAGGAAGTAATATGGAAAAAATTTACTTACGGATATTAACTGATAGGAATGATTCATCATGGCGATTAGAAGATTTAGAAGAACGACGATATTGATTACCGAGTAGGTGCCGAACATTAACATACCCCAAAATCTCGTGAACACTTTAATGCCATCCAATTCGAAACTTTCGAGATCTACCAATCCGAAGACAGCCCAGAAAAGCGTTTGAGTGGTCTCGAATAAACTGCCAACATTTTCCAAGTTCTTAATTAATGAAATAATTCTTTACATGTTTTATTTAAATGAATTTCTTGTGAATACGTACTTGGCGAATCGTCGCCAAACGATGCAAGCATTCGAATCTGTTGTAATGTTAACGTTCATTGGATATTGCATTGCTGTTGGGCATCTCTTTTTTTCCATATCAGCGTAATACCATAAAAGTTGATTCAAACCTACCGATAGATCGAATAGAATGACAAATCTTGAAAAATTTAACAAAACGATATATATATATATATATATATATCATAACCGATAACTTTCGAGGTTTCTTCTATAAGACTGGTCATACATTTTATACTTACCGCAAGAAAAAGCAAACAAAACTAGAACGTAGAGAAAGAAGAATTTCATGATATCCATAACCATCCTCGATAAAGAAACCTGAAGAGGTCCAAGATGGGGATTCACGGAAAATATATAGACGAGTTTTAAAGAACTGTAATGAAAGATAAATACGAGAACATTTACATATTGTTCAATATATATATATATATACATACACACACACACACAAATACATCTTATATTATTATTAAATATTACACCTAATATTAATTCTAACAATTATTACTGTTGGTAATATATAATTGTTAGAATTAATAATAATAGTTAATTATAAATGACAGAGTAAAAAAAAAAAAAAAAAGAAAAAAAAAAAAGAAAAGATTCGTCTACCGAAAAAATTCACCTAAATATATTGGCGGCTGAGAAGAGGCCTTCCGATATAAGCATAGGATCCCAAGTGTCCCATTGTTCACGCTGCAGTTCCGTCTGAAAACCTGGCTGCTGACCTTCATTTTCCTTTTGTACCCTATAATAAGCGACTACTCTGAGGGCTACCGTAGCGACGTACAAAGAATTCGTCACAAAATCTATCACGTTCCACATATCGTTCACGTATTCCTTTAAACCCACGTCCCAAAGTTGTTTCACCTCCGACCATATCAATCCAGAGACCCAGGCCAATATGAACCTACGATAAGTCGAACGAAGACAAGATTTCTATAGAGATTTGTTCTCCTCTCGTTTGTTAAAGGACAGGATACTCTTATCCTGGTTCTTGATTGTCTTTCTCTCTTTCTCTCTCTCTCTCTTTCTCTAGTTCTATCTCTCTTTAACGTCATAATAAAATCCCTTTCGAAATCTTACAGTAGAAAATAGAAAAATCAAAGAGACTCGTCTATTTCGAACGTTCTATAACATGATTACACTTTGATAAGGATAAAAAATGATTTCAAAAAAATGATTTAGAAAAAAACCATCCCAATTCATACGATACCATATTGAAACTAAATTATTTAAAATATTAATAATTTAAATTTACTATCCCTTTATATATATATATATACGATCGATATTATTTTAAACGCATTATAATAATACATTTTAATCATTATAATCATGAATTGCGATTATAATACGGAATATATAATAGAATTTATTAAATATCAACAATGAAATATAAATGTTATGATTGGTTACATTCTAAGGTAATTATTCGAGTGGACAAATTAATTTAATTGATTTTATTCGAAATTCAATTGCAAATATTATTATGATAAATATATATATATATATTGAATCGACGAAAAGTCGAATAAAATTTTTACGAATGAATATGATTTTTGAGAGAGACAGAGAACAAGAGAAATATAAAAGAAATGTAAAAGAAAAGTTTACCACTCGACGATAGTTGGTGCAGCACCCCTTTTGGTTGATACAGAATCGTGGTCAACAACGCTGTGCCCAATCCAATTACCGATTACGCTTTCTATCCTCTGACTTGCTAGAATTAACATAACTGCGAACAAAGAAGTATAGAATTTCCTGTTTACAAAATAGATTTATGAGAACGTCGCAAATGTGGCAAAATTCGTCGAAAAGTTTATCGCGTACGAACGTTCCCCGCACGTTCCCCGATCTTAACCGCAAATTCATATTTTACTTTCAGAGCACGTCGTTAGATCAAACATTCTCTTTTTTTTTTTTCCTTCTTCTTCTTCTTCTTCGTTCTTTCTTCAACGACTTACGAAGCTTATACGTCGACATTCGACTATAATAGGACGTCAGTAATACTCGATAACTCTCGAAACACGTGTGAATATTATTAGCGAGTTATAATAAACGGTGAGATCGATGAGAGAGGAAAAGAAGATTTTTTAATAAAACAAAAAAAAAAAAGAAGAAGAGGAAGAAGAGGAAAAAAGAAAAAGAAAAATAAAGAGGGGAAAAAAGAAGAAGAAGAGAAGGAGAAAAAGAGCGAGATCGGACGAACGATGAATCTTCGACCTTTATCAAAACCGGACGTTAGGGAATAATCTGTTTGGACTATACGATAAATCTTTGGAGCCATGTAAAAATTCAAAAACGACACGTTATTATATCAGACGTTGTTGGCTCTTTGTATACTCTTTCCCATTTTCGAGACAACATTTCTTTCGTATATATTATGGTAATAGAGAACGTGGGACGGGGGGAGAGAGAGAGAGAGAGAGAGAGAGAGAGAGAGAGAGAGAGAGAGAGAGAGAGAGAGAGAGAGAGAGAGAGAGCAGAATGATAGAAGGTAGGAAAAGAGAAAGAGAGAGAGAGAGAGAGAGAGAGAGAGAGAGAGAGAGAGTGTGTGTGTGTGTTTTGACGTGGTGGTGGAATTTGTAGAGGAGATCCTACGTTTAAATGGAGCAAAAACTTCGTTATACGTACATAAAAAAGTGAAGTATGATGCCGAGTGACAGATGAACTTGATGAATGGTTTCCTCATAGTCTGACCGATGCTGCTGTGAGGTGCTATGATGTATGCCACACTGAATAGTGGAAAGAGTAAGCCAATCCTGACGATTTCCATAGCTTGAAGAAGCATGTTCTTTCTACGAAAACCGGGAAGACCCTCGTACCAAATCGATGCTAATAGCTGCTGCACGTTTGGATGCGCGACGAACTGGAAATTTTCGAAGCAAAGCGAAATTGTCCCGAACATTATTGAGTTTCTCTCTGTTTCTTTCCAGACACGTAACATCGAAATAACAATTAGAATAATTAAATAATGGGTTCAGTTGTTATTCCAAAGGAATTAACTTTTTTCCATCGATCAAAGATATCTTTTTTCTCATATAATGAAACGACGAAAGAAAGAGAGAGAAAGAGAGAGAAAGAAAAAGAGAAAGAGAGAGAGAGAGAGAGAGAGAGATAGAAAGAGAGAGAGACAGAAAAGAAATGAGTCGATTAAAAGAAAATAGAAAAAGATAATGAAAAATTACCTTTTTTTGTCTAAGTTTTATAGCCAATTTTAAACGATTCAAATGCATTCTCTCGCCGTGCTCGAACGCAGGCCCTTTTGGATCATGATTGAGAAGAACCTCGAGCTCGTAGGAACTTCTTGTATGGTCGAGTAAAGCCGTAGCGAAGTCCTGACATTGTCTCCTGAGTTCCTGCCAAAAATTCATGCTAATTTTAAGTTGTTAAACGTATAGACACCCTTTCGTGTATCCCATGTACTCTATCTAGATATGTAGATACCTAAATACATTCGCTTTTGTACTTTCCATTCAGAAGGAACCATAAATGTAGGAACTTTCAAGCTCGCCGCAATATACTCGAGAATTTAGGATAAGCTTCCCTAATCATTTTCCCGTTGGATGATCGAATTTCGATCACGTGCTTCAGAATATAACACGACTGCTTGATTGTCGACGTGTCTCTCTGAGAAAATAGTTGGGACAAAACGTTGGTATAGTTCGAGCAGAAATTTTCCGAATCGTTCGACCAAGAATTTTGTGTATATGTGTATGTGTATGTATATACATATATATATATATATATATATGTGTTGATAGACGACAGTTCATATAATCCATTCACGCTAATCGTTGGCAGGTTAACTGAAAGATTCAGTCGAGCATTCATCTTCATGATTTACTTTTCCTTTTACCATTTGGTATGATTACGTTTAATCTCGTATACGTATAGTACGTGTAATATGTAAATATATGTTCATATATCTATTTATTGTATATACACGTCGAAAAGAGAAATTTCACAGGACGGCTACGTCGTCGATCTTAAATATATACAACTATATATTATATATAAAATACATACGTATACACACATGGTATAATCTATCTAAATGTTCGTTTAGAAATTTGGAAATAAGAGGAATTATTATAAAAATACTTGAAAATCCAAAACTTGTCGAAAGTTATCGCGTATTAATTTTTTGATCTAAGCAATAAATGCTCCTAGATTGACGAAAACGTATACTCGTACTAGCTCATGCTCACTCTATCTCTTTATCTCTCTTTCTCTCTCTCTCTCTCTCTGTCTCTTACCTTCGTTCATATATTGTGGCAGGATGCCAATGATAACGTTTACAACATCAAAGCGATATTTCGAACGTGCCCAAATATTTGCCGACGCGTGTGAAAAAAAAAAAAAGAGAGAGATAGATAAAGATCGAGATAGAGATCGAGATATAGATACGCACGAATAAGATCTCAGTGATTAAAAGTTTTAACGAGGTATTAACCATTAAAAAGCAAGATGGTATGGGGCATGTTGTAAATGGTATCCCTCTATCCTTGATATCTTACTACGTTGAACGCGTGATGTTTATTAATTTCTTAGAAAAGTAAACCTTGAAACTTGAAAATTCACTCGTGCATTCTCTTATCGAAAAATTTTGAATTTTCTCTTTAAAATGTAAGTTGTCGAACCACTCAAATGTTTATCGATTTATCGATAAACTACGTGCATATTGCAAGGATAATTTTTTATCGTTAAAATCGTGCGATATTAAACGTCGAAAACGTGTTTCCTGGAGGGTAAA